CCCCTCTTATTACGGAGATTTTTAGTTGATTTCAGGTACCGGAGAGCGGGCACGATAGCGGCTGAATGCCACCAAAAAGCACATAGAGTCAAAAGTATCTCGAATAAAAGCTTTAAAATAGGAGGCACAGACCATAATGTTATTCCCAGCTCCCTCTAATAACTTTTATTCATGTACCTGCATACAGGACATCGGATGAAGTTCACATCAAACAGATTTTCTGCGCATGGGCGTCGGCAGAGCACGTGACTGCATGGCAAGATGATTGGATGAGCGAAGAACTCCAGGCAGATGGGGCAGGTGAGGTCCTTGATCATCTCCATCACGTAATCTCCTCGTCGCCGCCTCTGAAACGCTCCCAAAAACCGTGGCACAATGATTAAAAATCAACCAACCAAACAAACAAACAAACGCACAAACAAGCAAAACAAAAAAACAAAACAAAAAACTACAGCAAAAACAAGAAAAAAAAACCTACAAAAAACAAAACCAACAAACTAACTACCAAAAATTGAAACATTTGCATGAATAGCGCAATTCATGTTCCCCAGAATATTGCGCCTCCATCCAAGCGTTGTCAAAATGAACTGAATGTGCGCTTTCAATGGGTTAAAAAAATGCGAAATAAAGACACTTTTGGTTTCAGAAAGAGTATAACGGCATATCAACACAATACGGTCATATTATAAATCGAAGATTAGAGGTGTTACATGAGAGTAACAAACCCCAAAAAGAAGGAGAAGAGATGATAACGACGACAGATATTTGATGGAAAGAAGGAGGAAACCACGCCGGAGCACCCCCCCCTCTCCCACAGACCTACACGCACACGTAGGTACACACACATGCATACACACGCATACACACATACACACACAAAAACACACTCATGCACACATACGTGCACACCTCAAACACAACACAGACATAGGCCCTATATATTCATACATAATAATTGTCAGACAGCAGACAAAAGGCAATGTTGTGGCAACATTCGAACGAACATACACAAAATACAAACACAAACATAGATTTGTATATTCCAAAGTATGCATGTTGTTGTCTGTCTTTTGTTTTTTTTTGTTTATTCTTTTTTTTTCCTCTGTTTTTTTTTTGTTTCAGACAAAGAAAATGATACTTGTAACTGAAAAACATTATGAAAAAGGCAGCAATTCATGTTCCCCAAATAGTGGGCCCCCAAGCGTTGTCAAAACAAGCAGAATCATAATGTACGTCTTTATATGAATAAACGTTTGGACAAAGTTTAATGGGTAAAACAATGTACGCAAGCATGAGTGACTTGTCAATATGGGCTGTTACAATGACCGGTTCTGTGGAACATTGTATCTACATATCCGGCTATTGGTGCCATGATCGGTTCTGTAGAACATGGTTTGTAACTATAATTATAGGGCTAGTACCAAGACCGGTTTAGGAGAACGTGGTTTCTAATTAATAATAATTGAGCCAGCACCATGGCCGGTTCTGTGGGGCATGTTTTCTATTTATTGGGTTGGTATCACAGCCATTTCAGAGGAACTTGTTTTTTAAATAATCATCGGGCTGGTACCATAACCCATTCTATGGAACATGATTTTTAATTGATAGTAATAATAATAAATAATAAATAATAACTAGCATTTGTATAGCGCATAACCCCGCTCTACAGCAAGCTATA